AGTGTGAGTGTAAGTGTGAGTTTTGTGTTTCTGCCCCTGCCATTCCCGCACAAGGTTGTAGCACTTTAATTCATAAATGTAATCTAACAAAGGTAAAGGGCAAATATCAACCATATATGCTTGCTTGTAATTGGGATGAAGTAAACATCTGTTGAGTATTTTAAAAAAAAATTTTAATGGTGTTGAATTAAAATCCCAAAAATGCAGCGGGTCCACCAGACCCACGAACACTGGCTGAGTAACAAAAATATGAACACCACACAAGGGTTAAGTCTCTCAAGGTATGTAAAAGCAACCTCTGAACAGTAAGACCTTCCTCTGGGTAATAACCATCATGATCCATCCCCTCCATGCACACCAGACAATCTTCAGCTGTCAACCCTGTCAGTGCTGCATTCACATTTGATTGGCACACTGCGCAATGTGCACGGAGAACGTGCCACCGCCAATAACAGTGTCTCCACAATACAACAAAAAAAATGCAAAAAATGCATTTACACATGCCACAAGACATTCGCAGTTCGTAAGGCTGAACAAAAAGAAGAAAGAAGAGCGCAAACACAAGAAGACAATCTATGTAACCAGCTGGCTGAATTATTTATGCACATAAACAGTGCAATTCTCTGCCTCATAATTACTTTTTAAGAAGTGCACTTAAATAAACGTTGCTAATTAGTATCATGTTTACGCATTTTTCACTTTATTTTAAAACTTTTACTCTGTCAATTTACTTTTGGCCAGCGGCGCAGGCGTGTGTGATTAACCACAGAGTTTAATTAGCTAGGTGCCACTAACCCAAAAGTGATTTTGTGAGAGGGGGCAGAGAGTGCCAAAACAGTTTTAGGGGCGAGAAAGCTGCCGTGCTGAAAAAACATCAGAGAGCTGGTGTGAAGTGTGTATGGAAGACTTAACAGATGATATGCATTTTTAAGAGAGGTGGGGGGTGGATTGGTGATCTCACTCTGCTCCGTGATGCAATTAGAGTTTTGCATGGATCGTGAGCTGAGGTGCTGTTCGCTCACCGATTCACGGAGGTAATTGAGTTTAAGGGTGAATGGAGATCAAATGGTTTAAAGTCTCACTTATCCGTCCTCTCTCTATTTATCTCTTTGCATGGACATTAAACAGCAATAACTAATAGAAAGTAATATTAAAACCCCCTGGTTCAGGGCTGTGGTTTTAAGTAAAGCCAAACCAATATAAAATATCTTAAACTGAAAACATTCAGAGTGACACTAGAATAAGGTAACATGCCTCTAATGCAAATTGAAATCAAAATTATATTAAAGGGGTCATATGATGCTATTTTAAAGATTATTATTTTGTAATTATTATTATTATACATTATTTTGTGTATTTGGTGTAACAGAATATGTTGACATGCTTTAGTTTTAGAGGGGCTCATTCATTCATTTAAATTACTCAATTTTATTAGAAACAGAATACTGTTTAAAAAATGAAAAGAAAAACCATTAAATACTTTACACTAAATGTTACATGACAAAATTTCATAAAAGTGACCCACAGTTTCACACAGTGTTGCTTCACAAACACATTTCAGCATGTAGCATGTATAAATCACTAACAAATGTGCATATTTTGCTGGATGAAAAAAATATGAGGCCGGTTTTCCAGAGTAAAAATCTCCACACCATGCATTTTTTTTTTTTTTTTTTTTTTTGGATAATGCAAAATTATCCCTGCAATAATAAACATTTATTTGCTATCTCATTTGTAGTTGCAAAGGGCAGCAAATTGGTTCGTTACCTCGAGGCAACATTGTAACAGCATTGCTTTGATCTTTTGCAGTTGTGCAACATTAATTTTGTATTTTTTGGAATATCCAGGAATTTACTGTAATCTTTAAGAATATCAAATTAAACATTGATCAGTCTTCCGGATTTTGTTTGTTAGCTATGATGCGTTTGTACTCATTATTCAATGGAATTACCATAGGTCCTATAAGTCCTAAATCAAATCTCCAGTACCACTGAAGTGCTACTGCAATAGTAGTCAGAACATGACGGTAGCAAACAACACTCGTCAAACACAGAATCCAATAAAACATTAAGGGATTCTGGAACATAATTGTGTCTGCATTAAACTGTATCTTTGATCAAGTCATTTAATCATGTGGAGTAATACTAGCTAATGCAATTCAGATCTCAATGGATTGAGGAGGACCAGTCTGTCCCACTGCGAGGTAAACTTCAGGACTGGTATCTCAGGAAGCCTTTATCTCAGACGCTCAGAGCTGTATATTGTCAGTATACCATACCATTGTCAATATTTATTTATTTATGTATTCATTGATTGATTCATTCATTCATTTATTTATTTTAAGATTATAGCTACAGCAATTTAACATACTTAAAATGCATTATTATTATTATTATTATTATTATTATTAAGTACACTGCAAATTATTAAACTTCTGTTTTTGTTAATTCTGTGCATGGTTTATTACATGCATTTATTTAATAACACAGCTATTTTACCATCATATGGCAACAGCAACTCTCTGCACTGCAGGCGAATTCAGCTCGGTTCATCATGGGCTATGAGTTGCCAGTCTTACAGGACATTTACTCCGATGCCGTAGGAAGGCCAAGTCTATCTTCACAGAGCCCAGTCAGTCCGGTCTTAAGCTGTCTGATCTCTTAAAGTCTGGCAAACGGTACAGAAGCATTTAATCTAGATCAAACAGACTTCAAAGCAGTTTCTACCTGCAGCTGATAAGACTGCTGCCTTTCACAGCCACTCTGACAGCATTCTCCTAGACTTCTAGCCATCATTTTACACATGTATTATATGGTACACTGCACATCTGCTTTGCACAGTTGTGATAATTTGCACTCTCTCATACAATCAAGAAGGATTTTTTGAATAAATAAATACCATGAATGGTATGGTAAAAAAGTACATTAGATGTAAGCAATTAAGTTGGATGTTGCTGAGGCAGAGTATCTTGTGGAAAGATAAACTGTTGTTTCTATAAAAAAATTAATTGAAGAAACTTGTTCCACAAAACAAACAACTGAAGGATTATTTATTAACTGACATCAGCTATACAACACATAATGCAAATTATACAATTATATACACTGATGCCAAGGTCTCTGGAAAGTAGTTTGGTTGGATTATATTTACGTTCCACTCGGTCAAGTGATGAGTCAGACGGCGATGGATGAGTCAGAATGGGGGTTTTGAAGGCTATCATGCTCTCAGTCTGCTGTCCACTACACAAGAAACTATTGATTGCTTTTTAAAGTAGCATTTAATTCAAAATAAGAGGTTAAGAATAATGTGTATCCCGATAGAAAGTGCAGATGCAATTAGCCACTATTTAATAATTTCGCCAAGGCCATGTAAAGACCAGATGAAATCAAGCAAGGAGATTTACAAAAATAGGAATAGTTTTGTGCAGGAGAGGACGAGTGTGAATCTTGAATGCCTCTTTCCCTTTATGAATAATGGTCTCCCATTTTAGGGGACTTTAATGGGGTCACTTTTTAGTACGGCATTCCTGTGTGAAGTTTTTTTGGAGAGCTGAGCAGTGTGTAATACTGTAAATAAAGTGACCTAAAGAATCATTTGAAACTTTTTCAGGGCAGACATGAGCTCATTGCAGAGTGTTTTACAGACTTTATAACACCTGAAGTGACTGAATTTGCTGCACTGGTGACACGTTCAAGTCCATTAGCATCATTTTTTCTCAGTAAAAAAAAAAGGGTCACAGAAAGGGTCACCCGAGAAGAGAAGCTGCTTCATCATTGCAATGGCCCCACAAAAGGTCACCGATTTCAGGCAGACAACACTTCCTCTTGTAGACCTCAAGCTTGGTGTGATGTAGTCAGTTTGCTAGTGGGATTTAGTCATTTAAAAGTGATTTAGTCATTTTTCTTTCTTCTGAAAGAAGTAGATAATGATAAGACTACATCTACCTGTAATTTTTAAGTAATCTTGAAGACGGAGGTTAGACATTTCAGGTGTGTTTGATTAGAGATGGAGCTAAACTCCATCCAGAACCAGATTTGTCCACCCCTGGAATGACATATTGCTCTAATACGCTTCTAATATTCAAATCCGTTAAAGGATTTTTAGGCTGCATTAATTAGGTCAACCGGAACCAGGAACACTTCCCATAACACCCGATGTACTTGCTACATCGTTAGAAGAATGGCATCTACGCTAATATTAGTCTGTTTCTCTCTTATTCCGAGGTCACCGCTGCCACCAGATCCAGTCTGTATCAGATCAGATGGTCACTGCAGTCACCCAGATCCAGTACATATTCAGACCAGTTGTCATTTTTGCATTATTGACACACTATTTTCCTAATTAATGCTGTTCAGTTGCTTTGACACAATCTGTATTGTTAAAAGCGCTATATAAATAAAGGTGACTTGACTTGACTTGACTCTAAACTAAATTTAGAAATGTCAATTAAATTATCACATCTATCAAAATAGACTGTAAGCTGTTATTAATCATTAATGTTATCTAATGTTTCTTGAAACTGTCAGTTTGTTGCGGGTATGAATATATGTTTATAGGTACCAAAAAATAAAATGTACCACTACTCTGCTGTAACAACTGTCTAGGTTTTTGTTCATGTGTAATGTTTTCAATTCAGGTCGAGTAATGTCTTTTATGTCATGACTTTTACTATGGTTTCAGTCATGTGACCTTCTGTTCCCAATTGTTTCTCATGTCATGTTTTCATTGGTTCACTGTCTTATGTTGTTATTAGTTCTGTTCTCTTGTTGGTTCATGTTATTTTGTTTTGCAGTTCCGTTCTGTCATTGGCATGGGGTTACTCCAGTCAATATTTACTGCTGTTTCACTTCTGCTGATGCACTGAGCAGTTCAGCACAATCTCATGGCAATTTATATATATATTACAAGGTGGCTAATACATATGAATTCGTACGATTTTAGCTAAATCATACGTATTTTAAGTGCTCCCCAATTCTTATGAATTCGTACAAATTACTTACTTGTCACTAGGGTCTAATCTAATTAGTCTCATCCTAATTTTTTAGGATTACTGATAAACTAATGTAGTTTGATTTGTATTAGGGTCTAGACAAATTGTACAAAATCATACAAATGAGTTTGTGCGAATTCTTGCGAATTAGCGATCTTGTAAAATACATACAAGTTGGTCGTGAAATAGCGTTGAGCAGTTATATCGGATTCCAAAATCTGGGTTGTTGTGGTTCCTGCACTTGGGTTTTCTAAAGCATCTTCATCGTCTTCATGCCTGGTACACCTGTGATCATAAAATGGATTTCAGAACAATATCACTACACCGACTTACCATTGTAAAGCCTAATATGATGCCTGTACTCATGATGAAGGTAAAAAATTATAAGATCACTATTCATATGATAATGTTTTCCTAGTACCAGATACAATGGTTTTTGGATGCCTGGACAATCTGCACAAGATTGCCAGAAACTGATCAGGCACGAAAAAGAGATCTTTTCTCCAGGTGTATTACCAGACAGGACATATGGTGTGATGTAGATGAGCACTTGTGGCCAAATGAAAAAGGCTTTGTTGAATATTCTAATTGTGCCAGATTGTATGTTATAATACAGATATTTTGCATAGATGTATGTAATGTAAAAAACATCTTTGTAAAATGTAAATACTGCTTCATGACTTAAGTTTCATTTTGTATATTGGACTTCCTAGTACAAAATAGTGAGGGGCACTGACATTGATTTTGAGACATATATGGACATGTTGGTGGTTTTATTTCATTTTGGAACTGCTGTGTCAAGCTGCGACAGTTAGGAAAAAGTGCTCTCAGTATTAAGAAGTGCACTGTAACTCTGCGTCCCATTTGCTTTGTGAATTCAAATTCAGTTGAGCTGGTCTTTAATTTTAAAATCTCAAGCATGCTTACTAGTCCAGGGCTGTCACAGAGACAGGTGTGATTTCTCAGGACACATATTGCAGCATCAGGTGAAATAATAAATATCTTACAGCACCTATAAGCCTTGTATATGATGCATCTTCACAGGTGCAAGGGTGCATGGCAGTGTGTATTAGCTCCTCAAGGCTCTGCTGCACATCCCAATTTTGTAAGCCACCACTGCCTTTTCTTACTGGTTCAGTTGATATTCTTCTCACTTCTGCCTCTCGTTTTGAAGAATATTGCAGGAGAGAAAGCATAGAGCATAGATATCCAATTAAAATTTCAAAGAAGTCCAGTCACTAAATTTTCTTCTCAGCAACAGCCAGAACAGTCTGCAAAAAGAATTGCGTCAGGGTCAGTTTGTTGAATGGATATGAAAATAAGTAAACAATATACATTTCAGGAAAATTCATCAGCTATTATGAAGCTAAATTATCGAGCTACACCTTGTAAATGTGTAAAAAGACAGAAACCCAATATTCAGTGGTCAAAACTGTCTTTTTCACGACCACAGTGCTGTCCAGAATAGAAAGCCCTAGCAAACAAAAACAAAAACAAAAAAACACCTCCTGTAGATAAACATTTACATTTATGCAGTTAACAAAAAGTTTTATCCAAGGTGACTTACAATTGAGGAACAAACGCAATTTGTCACAGAGCTAATATTCACAGTATGAAAGGCCAGGTTCATTAGAAAACTAAATTAGGAAACAAGCTAGAGAGAGTTGAAATGCAGAAAAGAAAGAGTAATATCTCTCTCTGTCTGTGTGTGTGTGTGTGTGTGTGTGTACCTGTTTTTCTATTGGTCCTGGTAAACCCTAAGTTATGGGGACAAAATGTCCACCAGAGAGGAGCACAGAGCGTGAAGGTTTTGGAGGGTGACTTTGTACCTTGATGTGAAGGAACATTGTTCAATGAAGTGAGCTGGTGAAAGGCTGTCTTTGGCTAACTGAAGACTGGACATCAGGCGTGTCAAATTTAATTCCTGGAGGGCCACTGTCCTGCAGAGTTTATCTCCTACCCTAATTAAACACACCTGAACCAGCTAATCAAGGTCTTCAGGATTACTGGAAACTTCCAGGCCAGTGTTGGAGCTACACTCTGTAGGACAGTGAGCTGCTTATGAGCTGGTCCTGAGCAGGAGCTAGTTGCTTAGGACCAGCACATGACCAGTTTAAACCAGCTCAGGACCAGCTTAAACCAGCTCAAACCAGCTGCCATGCTTCAAAACATACTTAACTGTATATGCTGTTTTTTTGTTTTCAACAGGGCTCCATGGACTGACTT